AGCCTTCTAAGGACTAAGACCTCTAAAACTGTGAGCCCTCACATAAACTTTTCCTCCTCTACAACTGTTCTGGCCAGATCATTTAGTCACAGCAGTGACTAAAACTATGATTAAGAGCATGGAGAAGAGAAAAAGAAAGTCAAGCACATATGTTTTTGCTAAGCATACATTTTTCAGAGATCTGAGAATAGTTCGGTATTGTTATAACAAAACAACCAAACAATAAAGAATATGCAACAGGGCTGGGGTTATGGTTCAGAGGTACAGCGCTTGCCTAGCATGCTTGAGGCACTGGTTTCGATCTTCAGCACTACATAAAGTAAAATAAAAAATAAAAATAAAAAAGTATGCAACAGAGACTTCATATGCCCCATGAAGCCTAAAAATGCCCTGTTGAGCCCTTTACAGAAAAAGTTTGTCAGCCCCTATTCTGGCACATGTCAAATTAGTTTTCTCATTAGAATGAGAAAACAGAATAATGGAAAAGAAATGTTTTAAAAGAAAATGACTGGGAATTTTTCACAAGTGATAGAAAATATGAACCCACAGATTCATTTAGTACAACATAAATCTATACCTAATGTACCATGTACATTTTAAGAAATAAAAGAATACCAAAGATGAAGATAAGGTCCTGAAAACAAACAGTTGTTTAAAAAAAATGTACATACACGCACACACATCACTTTAAATCATTTTAATTTGCTGATATTAATACTAAGAAAAGTAAAATGACTGCAAACTTCTCATTGGAAAAACAGAAGCAAAGGCAAAATGTGTAATAATTTAAAAAACATAATAATCAACATAGAATTATGCATGTGGAATAATTATTTTTGAAGAAAGAAAATGGAAACATTTACAAATAAGTTACCACTAGGAACTTACAGGCTCTAGAGTAATTTTTCCAAGCATATACTTGGAAAGAGAAAATATTTCCAAGAGAAATTGTTTTCCAAGTGCAAGAAGGAAAGGTGAAGATATAAAACCATAAAGATGTAGATAAATACAAACAAATACTGTCAACATAAAATAATAGTAGGGAATTAGAATAGTAGATAATAATATGCAATTGGAAGGGGAAAATCAGATTGTGCTAAATCCCTCTACTGTTTAAAAAATTTCACTATGTACTTGAGATTTAGCTATGTATACTGGTTAAGTTATATATGTGTAGCTAAATCTAAAATATAATAAATAAAAGAACAAAAATAAACTTCTGAAATTTCAAAACAACAAAGGGGTGGGAGGCAGTGGAATGAGGAAAAAAATGAAAGGAATATCAAGAAAAAATTCAAGAAATTTCCTTAGGTTCTCAGCCACTGAACAATCCTTATATATGTATACCAAGGAAATATACAAGGATGATTAAGAGACTATCATGAACAATTATATATTAACAAATTGAATAACCTAGAACTAATGGGTAAACTGCTAGAAACATACAACCTAACAAGACTTAATTATGAAGAAATAATGATTAAGGAGAGTGAATCAGTAATCAAAACATCTCTCAACAAAGAAAAGCAGAATTCTTCCACCAAACATTTAAAGAACTAATATTAATCTTTCTCAAACTTTTTCAGCAAAACTCATTTTATGGGCCAACATTATACTGACAGCAAAGCCAGACAAGGACATTACAAGAAAAGATAACAGGAGCCGGGCAGAGTGGCACACTCCTATAATCCTAGCGGCTCCACAGTTTGAGGCAGTTTGTGGATCTCGAGTTCAAATCCAGCCTCAGCAATTTAGTGAGGTGCTAAGAAACTCAGTGAGACCCTGCCTCTAAATAAAATACAAAAAAGGGCTCGGGGTGTGGCTCCTTGGTTGAGTGGCCCTGGATTCAATCCTCAGTATGAAAAAAAAATCCCTATGAACATAGATACAAAAATCCTCAGCAAACAACATATTGAGCATACTTAAACCAATAATCCAAAATTGAAATCTGAAATATGACTAAACTTAAAACTCAAAAAACATTTTTTTTCTCTGATTTAGGAGAATTTCAGATTTGGAGATTAAGGTAAAGGCTACTTATTGATAAAGCCCACGCAAATACCCACCTATCTAGAAAAACTCTGTAATTTCAAACACTTTCAGTCTCAGGAATTTGGGGAAAGGAATACTCAGTTTGTATCAGCAAACTGAATTTTAACAGCATATTAAAAGGAACATTCACCATGATCAAGAGGGATTTATTTCTGGAAGGCAAGGATGGTTCAACAAATCTAAATATAACATGCATTTATTAACATATAACAGAATGAAGGACAGAAACCATACGATCATCTCAACAAATGCCTAAGAGACATTTGACAGAATTTAACATCTTTTTATGATAAAAATTCTCAATAAATTAGGCACAGAATGAATGTATTTCAACAAAATAAAAGCCACATGCATAAAGCCCACAGCTAACATAACTCATGGTGAAGACCTGAAACCTTTCCCTCTGAGATCAGGAACACTATAAGGATACCCATTTCTGCTACCTCTGTCAATATGGTACTAGTTTTAGAGCAGTTAGCCAAGAAGTCAAACAAAACAAAAGGCATCCAAATAGGGAAAGAAGTAGTGAAGTGTTTTGTGTTTGCTTAGCATATGGGTTCAATCTCTAGCACTGCTAAATAAATAAATAACTAATAGATAGATAGATAGATAGATAGATAGGTAGATAGATAGATAGATAGATCTGCCAAACCTTTGTCCCAGGGCAGGATACTGTGGTTATTATACTAGAATACAGGAAAAAGAATGATCTGCACTTTGTCTTTCAAAGCTGTTCATTATAGAAATAGCTCTGGAAAGCCAGTCCAGAGAAAAGCTGTCAGTGCCTTCCAAGAAGAAATGCAAAAAAATGAAATGAACTAGCTCCTGGTCACCTCTTGACCTCATTCATCTTGTAACCACTCTTC